CACTCTCACACACAGTGTTGAATATATATTTATTTATTTATTCATTTATATCTATTTAGTTATATTTAATTTTTATGAACAGTTTCACATTTATTAATTTTTGTGATAATTTACACATCCATTTTTGTAAATAGTTTTACACTTTCTCCACAGACACATTGGATCAAAAAAGATTTAGACACCAATTTATTTTATAACACGTAACATTAGATTTTTTGCACCATTTTTTAAAGAAAAGACACCGGAGGACCCATAAGCGCCGTGCTATTGTTCAACTAAGCATTTTGTATCATGTCATGATCATGATTATTTTTTGATGAACAAATAAAGAAGATTGACTGCTAAGATTGGCACAACAACAGTGCATAGAGAGCTTCATGGAATGGGTTTCCATGGCAGAGCATCTACATCCAAGCCTTACATCACCAAGTGCAATGCAAAGCGTCGGATGTAGTGGTGTAAAGCACACCGCCACTGGAGAAGTAGAGACGTGTTCTCTGGAGTGCCGGATCACGCTTCTCTGTCTGGCAATCCGATGGACGTGCCTGGGTTTGGCAGTTGCCAGGAGAGAACAGTACCTGCCTGACTGCATTGTGCCAAGTGTAAAGTTTGGTGGAGGGGGGATTATTATGGTGTGGGGTTGTTTTTCAGGCGTTAGGCTTGGCCCCTTAGTTCCAGTGAAGGGAACTCTTAAGGCATCAGCATACCAAGACATTTTGGACAATTTCATGCACCCAACTTTGTGGACAGCCTTCCCAGAAGAGTTAAAGCTGTTATAGCTGCAAAGGGTGGGCCAACTCAATATTGAACACTGCGGACTAAGACTGGGATGACATTAAATTTCATGTGCGTGTAAAGGCAGGTGTCTTAATACTTTTGGCAATATAGTGTGTATGTATCTATCTATCTATCTATCTATCTATCTATCTATCTATCTATATAGATAGATAGATAGATAGATAGATAGATAGACAGATACATATATAGATATGTCAATGACATCATCAGAATACTTAGATAGTTTGTTGTTCAGCAGCAGGCCGGAGAACTGACATTTGTGAGGTTACTGATGGGAAAGGATCGCCATTGCACAGGTTGTCAAGTCCAGTGGGTTGTTGGGATGTCCTTCATTGTGGTTGATGTTGGATCTGCAAGGCTGGATGACAGCATTGATGTTGGATTTACATTGTGGGACGCGGTGTGTGTGTTTAATTACTTTTTTACGTTTTTACCAATGCCATTGCTGGGACATGGGGTGGGACCACAGGACCGTGGGATTTGGTTCAAATATACATAGGACTGTCCCACCAAAATCAGGGGGGCTATGTGGTGACGTATGTACACACATTCTACAAATGTGAAAGTGTGAATTTGGATAAGCCAGAAAAGATGTGAAAGTCACAGCAGAAATTACTTACAGGTCAATTTTACAATACAACATTTGTATTTACTGAAAACATACTGCAGTCTCCATTCACATATAGCGCTTGCGTTTCCCATGCGGTTTTCGGTGTGGAAGACCGCACAGCATGCAAACGCTAAAATCTTTACAACTGCAAGGAATCTGCTCGTATGTGGCTATTAGTATACATTACAGTGAATTGTTTTTATATTTAGAGTGGTCCCGCGCGTATTCGTACGGCCCAATACGCGCAGACAACCGCTCCAGTGTGAATGGAGCCTTAGGAATCTGGTTTGCTGATGTAGTTTCACTTTACATTCTTCACTCTGACATATCCCTCTTTATCTCAAATTGAGTATCAATTGTTCCACAGCTCCTCCTGTTAGCACACAATCCATGGTTGAATCACTAACCTAGATAACACTGCTGGTATAAAGAGCTTCTTGGAGCACAGGGCACACATGCTGCTTTTTCCAAGGGAATATTAGAGTGCCAGAATGAGGTATGCTATTTGTTCAGATTCTTTTTCATGAAGTGCTGCTTTTTGTTGTATGCCTTGCTCTTCATTACCTATTTATTTAATTTAGCTTTTGTTAATAGGCTCATGGTCTGAATTACCTACGATTGTCTTATACTGTATCTTGGGGATTCTGGAGAGATTCTTTTTTTAAACCCCTTGGAGTTCCTTTTTCTGCCCCCTTCCTCTGTGGAGTTTCACTTCTCATTCTGTAGTAAATGCAGTTTTGCAGTTCTTCTCTTTACAGATGCTGCTCGCGTTATAATCGATCGAGTTATGATCTATCAACTTTACGATGGAGTTTACTGTACTGTACAGTAAACTCCCAGTTATTCGGCAACCGTGGTGATCTGTAGGTGCCGGATAACTGTAGTTTCTGGTTGCTTGAGAGTTAATAGTAACTCTTAAGCAACCATGTCTGTGGCGCCCCGCTTTCACCTGCAGCCCCATTCACCTGCCAGCTAGCTTTCGCAGCTGACAGATGAATGGAAGAAGTCAGGAGCAATAGCCATTGCAATAGCCAATAAGAGACTCGCTATTGCACCAGCCCACTGAGTAGAGGAGCGGACCTGAGAGAGAACTTTCTCTCTGGTCCACTCCTACTCTTAGTGGGTGGAGTTTCAATAGCCAGCCTGCTATTGGCTATTGCAATTTGAAATAGCCAATCGCAGTCTGGCTTTTGCTCCCCATTGTTTACATTCTGCTGCGGACCGCAGAATCTAGCTGCTGGCAGCAAGACATACACAAAGAGTTTTGTTAGCAACTAAGTAGTTAATTCACTATCGAGCCAAAGGATTAAGCTGAAGCTCACTTCGGCGGAACCGAAGGGCTGCTGTACAGGCAATTCACAAAATCACGTACAGCAGCTGAAGTGCTCAGCAGAGCCAAAGTATGTGCACTCCGTTCGGCTGACACATCCGAAGCGGGAAAAACGGTCTGCTGAAGCAGACCATTCTCCCCCCCAAAATGTAAACAAATATTTTTTTTTAAAAGGTGCGGGGTCCCCCTTTCGATTCATACCAGACCCTTCAGATCCCCCACCGAGTAAAAAGTTTTTAAAAAAGCGTGGGGTTACTCTCAAAAGTCATACCAGGCCCTTTAGGTCTGGTAGGAATTTTAAGGAGGAACCGCACCTCAATAAATGGGTGGGGGGGAAATGTGGGGTCCCCCCTAAAATTCCATACCAGAAACTTGACTCAAGCATAGGCCTGGCAGGGCCGGAAAGGGGGGGCACGAACGAGCGCCCCCCCTCCCTCCCACACCAGGCCACATGCCCTCGGCACTGGGAGGGTGCTTTTCCATGGTCCTGACCTCAACCCGATAGAACACCTTTGGGATGAATTAGAGCAGTCTGCGAGCCAGGCCTTCTCGTCCAGCAGCAGTACCTCACCTCACAAATGCGCTTCTGGAAGAATGGTCAAACATTCCCATAGACACACTCCTACACCTTGTGGACACCTTCCCAGAAGAGTTGAAGCTGTTATAGCTGCAAGGGTTGGGCCAACTCAATATTGAACCCTACGGACTAAGACTGGGTTGCCATTAAAGTTCATGTGTGTGTGTAAAGGCATGCGTCCGAATACTTTTGGCAATAAAGTGTACATGCAGTAGTCCCAGTAAGCACTTTAATGTGTTTGTTCTCTAAAATACAGGTTTTTTGGGGGGGTTTTTTGGTTGAGCTCGTCATTTGAAAAGTAGATCTTAACACGAAAAATTGTGTGCACCCCTGCACTAAAGGGTTAAATTAATATGTAAATAAACACACCAGGCCAGATAGCAAGAAATTGTGCTGCAAGTTTGAAAATGACTTGCTAAACTATTGCAGACTTGCCAAGCTTCACAATTTTGTTGCACAATTACAGCAAGTCTGCATTGCAAGTCTCCAGACAATTTAACCCTGCCACTAGTTTGTGGCAAGTTATCCTTGCTATCTGGGAGATTTGTAGAAAAAATCCTTTCATTGAAAAAAAAAAACAACAAAAGTTTTTAATTATTCCTTTAAAGGAGGACTATGGGGTTAAGGCTTTTCCCCATAGTTCACCTAAGGGTAACGGGAGGACACAAACTAGCGTCCTCCCGTCACCCTAGGCTCAGTATACCGCGAGCTGTAAAAATCATTGAAATGAAAACACGTGAGATCCTCTTATATTGATAACATTAAGTCTGAGCAGCATATAACACAGCTTTAGGGTAACGGGAGGACACAAACTAGCGTCCTCCCGTCACCCTAGGCTCAGTATACCGCGAGCTGCTGCTCGCGGTATACTGAGACGCCGCAGCTGAAGTGGATCCCGACAATAATGCCGGGATCCGCCCAGCTGCGTGACTGACAGCTGGCTCTGCCTATCTAGAGGCAGAGCCAGCTGTACCCGCCCCCGTCCATTCCGCCAGTCAGCGCTGGCGGATCGGAGCGGGGAGGGGGGAATCCAGCCCCTCCCCTGTCACGGCAGAGAGCCGTGACAGGATCGAGAGTTGAGCGAACGCCTGTATATGTTCGCTCACCTCCCTATCTAATGAGCCTACATGTGACAGTCTCATTGTCACAGGTCGGCTAGAATTATGAGATGAGTGAAAAGCACTCACTTCATAGTTCTCCTTTAAAGAAATGTTGCTTACCATTAATTCTGTTGTGTGTAGCAAAATATCACCCAACATAATAGCAGCCCTGCTTATAGTATATTAGTATGGGTCTTACCTCCCCGTCAGCCTGGGTATAGTGTGCCTGCTGACAGATTGGCTGACTTAATAGATGTTTTTATTTTTCACAGAATCTGTCAAGCGCTAAGCTGCTGCAGAAGGATCTTATTTTTGCTGCAGGCTTTTCATTACACTTTAAAGAAAACGTAAAACAAGACATGAAAGTCTAAAGTTGAGGATTGGCAGAAATATGATCTACTGGATTTCTTGCCAGTGAGCCTCCAAGAGGCACGAGAAGCTGCTGGGTGGTTCAAACCACAGTGCCAATCTACTATATATAGCTAAAATATCAGATATGTGGGAAAGTCACAAATAAACACAGCATTGCAGAGATATACTAATAAAGTACTTACTATTTGCAATTCATTCTGTTTTCTCTTACAGTGTACCTTCCAAAGTTGCGTTAAAACCACGCTTGATGGAGTTAAAATGCCATTTTACTTGGCAGCTGCTGGAAAAAGATAGAAACTCTGATGAGTTGAAAGAGAGACTGGACTACCAGCTTATATACCTGGACACCAAAAACAAATACATGGTGTACAATCTTCTTGCCTACATAATGCACCTGAAAGATGATTACACAGAAGCCATCAATAACTTAAAGAAAGCAGAGGAGAGCATTGAAGGCAGTAACTCTGATGGAACAGGCAAAAAGCTCCTGGTGACATTTGGAAACTATGCCTGGATATACTATCACATGAAAGAGTATGAAAATGCTCAGAAGTACATAGAAAAGGTAAACCAAATTTATGATGAGCTCAAGCAATTGCCAAATGGCACTAACAAAATTGCAGAGATTTATGGTGAACAAGGATGGGCACTGTTAAAATTTTGTGCAAAATATTACGAGAAAGCCAAAGAATGCTTTGAAAAAGCTCTAGAACTAGATCCAGAAGATCCCGAGTGGTGCTCTGGCCATGCCACAGCGGTGTATCGTTTGGATGGATTGGGTGTTAAGAAATCTGAAGCTTCTGGATGCAAAATACTACAGGTCTTGCAACATGCTGTAGAGATAAATCCAAAAGATGCTGTCTTGAAAACACTTCTTGCACTGCAGCTGCAGGAGCTAAAAAGAGATGAGGAAGGAAGAGCATACATAGAACAAGCTCGGCAACAAGCTCCAGACCTTCCATATGTACTTCGTTATGTGGCCAAGTTTTACAGAAAAGCTGGGCGGATAGATGAAGCTTTGAGCGTCTTACAAGTAGCTCTTGACCTTATGCCAACATCAGGCTTTCATAATCATCAAATAGGATTGTGTTACAGGCAGAAAATGTTCAATTTAAAGAAGCTTGAAAAGACAAACCCTGAGCTCCGATATAAACACAGGGATGAAATGGATGAAGTTGTCAACAAGGCAATTTCTCACTTTGAAAAGGTGCTGCAGTACAAGAAGACATTTGTCTATGCATACACAGACCTGGCAAATATGTATAGTGAAGTAAAGGACTATCAGAAAGCAGAGGATACATTTAAACACGTTATGCAATTTCCTAATCTCACAGATGAAGAAAGGCAAATGATCAATCTAAATTATGCCAAGTTTCAAGAATACCACATGAAATGTAAATCAAAAGCGATAAAGCATTACAAAGAATGTTTCCAGATATCATTCCCAAGTCTGCACAGGGATTTCAGTGAGAAGGCATTAAAAAGACTGGGTGAAAGTATGAAAAAGACGTACCCACCTCAGGCTTCTGGTTTTGAATTGCTTGGCTTTGTCTATAAGAATCAAGACAATGTAAAAGATGCCATTGAATGTTATGAAAAAGCCTTACAACATGATCCAGGCAATGCCGAATATCTGAGTGAGCTGTGTGACTTGAAGCTGAAGATATAAAAAGTACTTGTAATAAACTAGTACAAAAGCAATATTGTGCTCTAATTCATAGCAGCCAATCAGAAACCAGCTGAAGTATTCTCATTAAAATAATGTATATCAATGCATATCAATTTCACAGTTTAGGTACATAAAAAATTGAATGGTTTTATGGATTACTGTACTTAAAAATCATCCTTGGTTTTAGCACCACTTTCATAAAGGATCCCTATAAAAAATAACTAGCCCCTAAAACTGATTAAGGCCCCTTCCACACGGGCTGATCCATGCATAGATCCTCTTCTGATCACAGCAGTATGGAGCGGATGTCTCAGCTGTGTTAAATATATCTATACAGTTTTTTCCACCATCTTGCTAATAGTTATGTAATATAATAATATATTTAAAAGATGGTCCTTGACTGTATATATTTTTATATGTTGATAAAATAATTTAAAATGATGTGCAACGTAAAATAATACAATTAATGTGTTCAACTGACAATAACATTTATTTCTTCTATACACACTTATCTGTGTTGATATATTTTACCTAATTAAAGTATTTGCCAGAAGTATTTATGCTGGCATTGCTATAAATAGCGATAATTAAATTTGAAATCCGGATAAGCAATTAATGTCTAAATACAAAAGGCCTGTGCATTCTTACTTGAATCTTGGTGTGCTCTGTGTATTTTTCCAAATGTGTGCAGTAATCTAGTGTGAAACTTTCCCCCTAAAATTCTAAAATGTAAAAAACACATTACTGTTTAAAGACCAGTGACTTTCCTACAATATATATATAAAAAAAATTCCCTCTGTGCAGGAGCTTCCTGTAATAAGGACCAGTCACTGTTGCTCTATCCTTGTGCAGCGTGCCTGGTGTTGTCTCCGCCCCTTTCTGTAGTTTTCTGCAGGCAGCCTGTAGAGGGTGGGGCCACACTACACAGGGTGGGGCCACACTACACAGGCTATGTGCAGCACAGTGATGACATCACTGAAACGTTTGCAGGGTGATAAATCAGTTTGCAAAGGCATTTGTTGCAAAATATATTCCTTGTGGCTATTGAGTCATATATTTAAATGAAACTTTTTGTACCCGGAGTTCAGCTTTAAAGCAGGCATCAATTAGGAGCAATAAATCGATCTGTTCATTTGTGCACAGGTAAAAAAATCTTTCTAAGCTGATACCAGGTCATTTCTTGGCATTTCATATGGTAAGTCTACAATTCCTCTCAAAACAAAGCCTACCCCTGCTGACTCACTCGCTGCCCTTCAGTCATTGTCCAAATAATGGGGTACTATACTTCCTAATCACAGTATAGTATGATAACACATGAACCTGGCCCCATTATTCCCTGTGTCCCCTGTCAATCAGTAAAAGCAAGATCCCTAACTATGGAGTCTGCACTCTTGGAAGGAGTGTGGGCTACCAGAGTGGACCAGCAAAAGTATTATTGTAATAGATTAATAAATGTCAACTGAATTATGAATATATGAACATCGCAGTGGTGGTCAGATCACCAGTTGGGTGAATTTGTGGGGATTAGTTGGTCACTGTTTACAATATTAAAGTTGAAAAGAGTCCCGTGATTTACATCTGTGTCACTCAGCATAGCCAGGTAGCTGACACCACTATTTCCTTTTTTCAGCTTTGCAGCTTCTTATGTCGCCTGACTGCTCTCGAAACTACAAATAAATCTTACATTTACAAATGCTGAATAGAAAATGTTTTGATGTAATGTGACGCAATTTGCCCTTTTGCTGAAAATTAATAAAGATTTATTTAAAATCAATTGCCTTTGACAAGTTTGGTTTAAAAATATGGATACTGAGCTTAAAGTGACATTAAACCTTCAGTTTTTGTATCCATTTCTATTTATGGGGGCCAGACTTACTTTAAAAAATGTTTTTTTATTCTTTAAATTTCTTTTATTTTCTCATTTTCTAATGGTATCCGAACTGCCAGCCTCATTCCTCCCCCCTCCCTCATTCAGCTAGCTGGCTGCTGTGGAGATACCTGAGCATGCGCGCTCACGGTCATGCCCGCACCTAGCTGTGTGTGTCCATAGACACACACAGCGTGCCGCCAGCCACACCCCCACCCTTGCAGTCACAGTTTGACTGACAGCAGAAGGAGCCTATGTTTCCTCTTCCCTCAGTAGCCTACCCCACAACCATGAAGTTCAGGGGAACCCCCAGTGTCTTCCCAGTCATGGCGGAGGATACAAGCGGCTGCAGGTAAGTGTGGGGGGGATGGGGGCTTTAGTAAAGTTCTGGGTGTTTTTTGCCTTGATGCAGACAATGCATTAAGTCAAACAACACCCAGACTTAAGTACTACTTTAAAGGCGGGAGATTTAATTTAGAACAAAAGATGTAAAAATCCCGTCAGTACAGGAAAAGAGCCTTGCAGTGAGAAAGCTATCAGTGATTGGAACCCAGATTTGCTTAGCACTTGGTTGATACAGCTCCTACCTTCATAACCCAATCAAATCAAAGGTTTTCAGAGATGGAATGGATACCATCATGTCCTCATTCGACAAAGCCATATGACACTAAACAACCTAAAACACTTTAGACAGTTCAACTCCAGCATATGTGTGAGGAAATAATGCTACATGTCAAACCTTTTGAAGCAAACCATTTGAGAACAAACCAAAACTGATTTTAGATCTGCCAATTCCAGTTGCTGCTCATGTGGAAAATAATAGGTGAACCTTGAAATATGTACCCATTTGCTAATATGATGAGATTTTCTCTTTGATAGCTACAAATCAGGGCTGGAACAATGCAGGGCATGCCCTCCTCTCTGTGCAGTGGAAGACACAGCCCCACATCATATTTTAGGAGAGCAACTCCCGCCAAGTAATGAGCAGGGCTCTGCTTCAGTTGGACAGCTGATCCTGCTCTGTGTATCAGGCACACTGACAGCTACTCCTTATACACACAGCGGGACCATCTTTGACAGTGGCACTACCCAGATTGCAACAGGACAGTTGCCCTCCTAAAGTAATCTGCAGTGCTTGCATTTTGACCCTCTTTACAGGCAAATGCACTTAAGGAAATAAAAAAAGTCCTATAAGATGTTTGTATTTAACATATTTTATGCATGTTATTTACCTGTACCAACCTCCCTTGTGTGGACATTCAAAAGTCCTGAAACTGTTGCAGGGCACCAACATCTTAGGTGTAATGTCAACAGCACCAGCAGTATCAAAGCTGTCACTCATTACTCCTCCCTGGAAGCTACATAAAAGGTTGCATAGGGAGGTGAGGGTAGGGGCAATGGAGCTGGGCCAGCACAGAGCGTAATTAGACACTATGACCTGCAAGGAGAGAGGGGGCTGTGCTAGGGAATGGACTCTTCCTGGAGTACTCAAATGTTCTAGTAAATTTAAAGGCACACTACAGGTTAACTAAAAGGCCACATTTAGCCTGTTCATGAACCTGAACCTCTGGCTGCTGCTGCTGGGACTGCAAGTGATTTATTTTGTGGTGGTATTACTATCATCACTATATGAATGACCTGTCTGCACATAATAGTAAACAAGCTGGTGAGTATCCCTGGGTGATGTCCTTAACTAATTACTATCACCATTAAATTAATAATTCCCACCCACCTTGCAGCTTGTTTTACAACCTACCTATTGCTGCTGACATCCCCTCAAGGAGCAATGGCCTTAAAAGAGAACTATGGCCCAAACCTTTTTTAGCCATAGTTCTCTTAAGGATCACAGGAGGACATAAATTTTGTCATATACTACATGTCATATACATGTCAGTCTACTCTGAGGACATATACTACGTCCTCTTGTGACCCAAAAACTCAGCATATAGAGGGCAATAACCCATTATATTCTGGCAGCACCGAGCTACACTGCAGTCAGGAACCCCCTACTCCTTCCTCCAGGCAGCGCTGGAGGAACAAAGAGGGGAAGAGGAATCTCTGAAGGGAGAATCTCTGCAGGGAGAAGATTGGAAAATGAGCGATCAGCGATATGTGATTTCTTATTACCCGATCAATAGAGCCGACGTGTGACAGCTGCAGTGTCACACATCAGCCCTAAATATGTGGAAAAGTGTATTTTACTTTCCCCATAATTCTTCTTCAAGCTGGGTGCACACAGATAGATATTATTTGTTCATGCTAACCTCGTGGAAGGATGAATATCCCGCTGTGCCTTTTGTACTCGTGACAGCAGTCAGAATACCCTTACAGTGCTTGCTGCTGATTGGCTACAAGCACTGTTCAACTGACAGTTTTCCAACATGTCCCTTAGACAAAAGTCAATCTAACAATCAATCTTTGTCTGTAAGATAGGGCTACCCATGAATCAAAATTAGATCCGTGTGTACCCAGCTTAAGTGTGACTTTGCATAGATTTCGAAAACTGCAGCGGCACACCCAGCTACAGACACCAATCATAAAAAGCTTTTAAACCTCATGATTGCTGACTATATTGGTTCTGGACTGATACTATAATGCTAAAAGGCAAAGAGGATCCTACGTACTACTTACTGGGTGTTTAGAAGGGACCACTGGCTAGAGCTAACTCAATATGCTTCAAAAGAACCGGCCTAACCAGCTGCAAGTGTAAGGTTCAAAAGGGCATTTAATGCAGCAGGAGGCTTTCTCACAGAGAAGAAAATCCACCTGTCCCAAGACAGCTTGGACTGGCTGACTCATCAAAATCAATATGACTTTAATTAGGCAACTCACCACTGCATGATGCCACAAAATACATTTTTCATTTTAATGCTGCTTACATTTCAATTCAATTGCTGCGAGCATTAACACCAGAGCATACCAATAAGGCTTTGCTCATCCCAATTGCATAACTGTAGAAGAGAAAAGTCAGGTCAAGTCAGGATGGCTGTGCTGTCTGGCTGGGTAGATCCGAGAATGGGATGGACAGAAATTCAAATCCTTTGGCAGAGAAAAAAACAGCTCCCTTGGTGTCATGTACCTTAGTTGAGACCAAGTTGTACCTCTTGTCCAACACCCCTCTTGTCCAACACCCCTGGACGGCACCAGTGCCTGGACGGTGTC